AGCGTCCTTGCCCTAGTCCTTGTTACTAGTAATACAGTAGGGATGCCCTTTTTTTCGATGTTCGAAGGATGGGAGCCCCTCGGCACGACACATTACTCAAGAGCTCCACCCCCAGCGCCGGGCGGCCTTAACCTCGGCGGTGACGCGGGCAGTGCTGGCGTCGGATCTGAATAGTTTGCCATATGAACTGGAGGAGCAGGTGGGGGCTCGGACCGCGGTGCTGATGCATGATGTGAAAGGGAACTGGGTGAGGTCTTGAAACCAGTCTCATGACATGGAATAAGCTTGACCAATATTCTTTTGGAAGCAGCTGTGGCCCTGGCCATCCAACCTAACTGACATGATGGACCCTGAAAGATGGAACCACGAAATCACATCTTGCAAAAGAAGCAGACAACAAAAATTGGATACAGTGAACTATGCTGACGCTCGTAGGCTAGGTCCGGTGCTCGTTCCGTCCAGGTGGAGGACTTGAGGCTCTCGCCCTACCTCTCCGACCCCGAGCGCCATGCGCTCCTGGAGCTCATGGTCGCCCCCTGCGAGGCTCGTGACCTCCGTGACCCCGATCGGTGGCGCGACCGGGAGCTGGAGAGGCCGCGCGACCGCGCGACGCTCACCCGCGGCGTGGCCGCTCCGGGGCCGGGGCGTGGCGCGGAGCTGCGAGCGCTGCGGAGGGCGCCAGCGCGGATGGTGGAGCCGGCGCCGGCACAGGCGCGGCTGAGGCGGCCGAGGGCGAGCGAGACTTATGGCTTTGGCTACCTGCCCGGGATGGCCTTTGAGGAGCTGAAAACGTGGGGGGGAGATGAATGCAGAGGTGGAGCACACGCAAGTTCCATCAAATTCCGCTGTCTAGTCTAAGTGTCAACCTTCGCAACCTTTCGCCCCCCACAAATGGACTTTCAAGATGCTTTGAACATACCAAACCCTCGACCGCAGTGAAGCGTCTTTGGACCCCCCTCTTGCTCCCCAGAGCCCACCGTGACCTGCAGATGCCCCGAGCGCGACTGCCGCCGAGGACTACGAGGAGCTCGATCCACGGCCGACCTCGCGACCGCCCTCGCTGCCGCCCTCGCCACGGGAGGCAGCGGCTCGGGGCGGGCGATCGTGGTTGCGCGCGCGGCGCAAGGGGTGTGTGCAGTTCATATGGCAAGGAGGTAACCAGTCGAAGAGTGGAAGCAGGGCAATGAAGGAGATTTCTTCATTGATTCAGTGATAGTCAGTGTATTTCCTTTTTTTGTTTCTCACCTTTCTCACCTTCCTGATGGATTTCAATCGCCTCAGGATTTTTGGCAGCAATCACCTTTCTGATGGCTCTGTTTGATGGTAGCAAAGTCCAAGGAAAACTATAGATAGGTAGATAGGTAGATAGACAGATAGACAGAAAGAAGGAAAGAAAGAAAGACAGATAGATGGATATATATATAGATAATATAGATAAGAAAGAAAGAAAGATAGATGGTAGATACAGTAGATAGATAGGTAGATAGATAGATAGATTCGATAATGATAGATAGATTATATACACGACACAGTGATCTGCAGTGGGGCAGTGCTCGGGTGATGGGTGGGATGCCGGGAATGTCCGCTCGGCAGTGCTCGGCAGTGCTCCGCCGCTGGAAGCGTCAGGAGTTCTTCCTTCCCGACTCATACAGCCGCCGGGATGGAGCTGGGGGGAGATGCTATGAGCTGGGCAACATGTGTGACAACGTCTTGGACCGTTTGCCTGCCATTGGTGAAACCATCGTTTGCCAGCTAGCCTTCTACATACAGATCCAGATGGAGAGTAGAAGAACCACCTGTCTTTCTTGGGGCATCACAGTTGTTTGCAGTGTCTACACCATTACACAATAGTTTCAATTCAGTCCACTTTGCTGTACACTGTGCACGGCTTAGGTCGTCTTGACCTGCATAAACTATAGCTACATAGTGACATAGTGGAGGAATTTGCCCAAATAGTGCCAAAGGATCTACAAGCACACTTGCAGCTGATGATGCTGATCTTACCAACCCAACTTCGCAACCTCAACATGAATGAAAAACAACACCCCCAAACAGACACACTTCAGAGATCTTCAGAGCAAGCCTTGCTCCCTCCACCCCGACCCTCAGCCTCTTCACCCGGCCCAGGCCGTTTCAGGGGTCTCCGCACTGACTCGCCCCGCCCGTCGCTGCAGCGCGCGGCCAGCGCCTTCCAACGCCTGGCCGAAGCCGCGCAGCGCGAGCGCGGCTACGCGCGCCCCGCGTCGCGGCCGGGGTCGCCGAGGGAGCGGGTGCCTGGATGGGGGATGTGATGCGAACTGCTGGGAGAGGAGGATGATGTCAGAGTTTATGTGTGTAATTGGTACGTGATCTAAACGCAGTTTTGTTTTCAGCTGGGGCTCCTCAAGCAGATGCGATTGGCATGCAGTGGGCACCTGCCGTCTCACCTCCCACCTTGCCGGAGTTGGCCAGGAGAGTCAAGAGAGAGGGGAATGATATTCATTGAAGTGACAGGCGTTGAATTCCGTGAGCCTGGAACATTTTTCTTCAGGGTGGCCTGAGTAGTCAAATGCAACCTCACCCCCACATGAATCTACATCGTGTATATATGTTTATTTAAGGGGCTAGCGCCCGCTGCCCACCGACCCCTGAGAGGGGTCGGAGGCCCATAGTGGAGCGGTCTAGAAGTGGTGGAATATGTGGAAGATGAGACTTCCCTCCTGGTCTGGTAGATTCATGAACGTACTTTAGCCCAACCTTTTGATCGATGGATGTTGGAATATCTTGCAGAAGAATTCATCTGCAAGGATGTCTCGTTTTGTGGTGCTTCCATCTCATTCATGTCCAGTATGTGTGTTTATGCAGAGGACTCTTCAACAACAGACTTTGAGTTGATGCTTCCCCAAGTCCCTTTCTTATCTTTCGAGGTTGGAGCCACACCCACTCGGCCAGCCAAAGCGCAACCCGCGCCCTTCCAGCGAAACAAAGTGTGCAGGGTGCGAGCTGGCATCGCTTGGACCTGCGTTCCTATGGTTCACTGTTTCCCTGTCATGAGATGGGACTTGTCGATCCCCCCCCTCGTAAGTCCACCCCCCCCGCATGGCAGCCGAGCACACCGCATGGTACTGCGCGCCGTGGTCCTTATCTTCGCCTGGGGGCAGCGCGCGCGCTCGCAGAGTACCTTGTGTGCCAGACGGGGCCTGGGATGCGCACGCCGCCCCGCTCGGCTCACGTTCATCGGCCTAGACCGGGGTCGGCGGACTTCTCTTGTGGCATGTATACATCAGTTTGGCCAGCATTGGACAGGCAAACTCTGAGGCTCATTTTGGCCCAATGTTCTCCGTACTTCCAGCATCTGGCAGGGCTTAGCTCCGGCTTGGTATTTCGTTCGTGGCTTTTCTTCAAGGAAGGCCCGAAGGCCCTCCGAAATGTGAGGGCCTCGTGTAAGCTATGTGGCTGAGTGCTGGCGCTCGTGCTTTCGGAACCACCCCCCCCCGCCGACCATGTTTGGTCCCCCAAACTTTCGAAGCTCTGGTAATGGCCTCCGTCCGAGATGAAACCCAAGTGAGATCTTGATAGATTTGAAGTGATGTGTGGACTGCGCACGAGCAACAACCTTCTACTTGTAGGAAGAGAGGGAACGTGGTTTCTCATATCTACCTAGCCATTCAAACTTGAAGCACATCCATTTCATACGCAGCGACATGCAGCGACAGTGTGGCTCAGCTCCCTGCAGGAGCCAAAGGGTGCCAGCTCAGCATATCTCACTCGGATCAATGAGTGCAAATGCCCCGGAAATGCCCTGCTCAAAGGTCAAAAGTGTTTGGATTGGATGTGCTCAGGGGTCACGTGGGCAATACCTGGGCACTCAGTGCGTTCGTACATGGTCAACCCCCTTGGAAGTCTAAAGCGCAACTGGGTCATGTCCTCCAGGTCGCCACCTACGTTTTTTCCCGCAATGAGCTGAACGCCTCACGTGCTCAATTTCAGACAGACAGACAGACAGACAGCTAGATAGACAGATAGACGATAGACAGATAGACAGATAGATAGATGGATAGCTAGATAGCTAGATAGGATAGAGATATAGATATCGAATGGTACATGCTGTGTATTTGTATATGCACACAATATAAGTAGATAGATAGAGATAGATCCAGTAGACTGCTTCTAGACTCTAGACGAAAGATCCACCAGCCTTGGCCACGTCCGAAGAACCGGCCATAGCGGCTGCGGTGGAAAGAGAAGGAACAAGACCCAAGGCCTTTCCACGGTGTGTTTTCCTGGAAATAGTTTTTTTGAGCGTGATTTGTTTTTTTTGGGCGTGGGGTATGTAAGCAACTGTTTTGTTTTGGAGATATCTGCAGTGCGGGTCAATTTAGTATACCACATCCAAACTTATCAAAGATGGGAGACAACAGGGAAAGCGCAGTGGATATTCTTAGCACGAATCCTTTTCCAAAGGTCCATGTTCAGGACATTGTTGATGTTAATCTTTCAGGATGATCTCCATTCTATAGCCACTGACCTGTTCTGCGGGTGTCGCTGCTCGACCCGGCTCCAGCTTGCGACGTTTCACTCCTAGTCGACCCGACCTTTTGGTCGTGACCTGGCTACCGTGGCCTAGGAAGATCATCCCAAAACCCCCTGGCTTTGGCCCACGTGAAGCTAGCCAGCTCAGCTCCGGAATTCACGGTGACTCCCAGTTTCTTCGATACATGATTCTTGGGTCCTGGGGGCCGCTGAAATCACATAACTCTCGTGAAGCTCCTTGGACCTTGCGGACCTCCCCCAAGTTCCTGTGGTTTTTGGGGATGGCAGAGCCTGTAGGAGATTGGAAAAGGTGCGACAATGACCAGTGACCCTGTTGGTCATCTTCTCAAGTTCATGACGAACATGAGGCAACTGAAAAGCTATATCATGCCATATCACAAAAATGTTCTGAAGATTAGGAGGATGATTGAGGATTATATATACTTTTCGCTTTGGCGAGAATTTGGATTACCCGGCATACCTCTCACGCCAGCAGCTCCTCCCTTGCGTGGCCGCCGCGCCCCCCCGCGCCGCATCAAACAAATGGGGCGCTTTCTGGACTGATGATATGCTGCTGGGCCGCATGCGAAACAAATCGGCGAGGTGCGGGCTGCCACCTTAGTCCTTAGATATCTCCCAAAGCGGCAATCTTTTTTCGGGCTCCTGGGGTGGCTAGGCCCACCCCAACCCCCTTTCAACTCTTCTGGATCATAGGGACAATCCGTCTTGGAATATCGCGGAATCAAAATCTTCACGATGTCCGCAGAGCTTGACTGAGTTGACAGTGGCTTCAGTTGATGGCGGCTTCAAGAAGGCCGCCTGTAGTCTACCAAGATGTTCGATAGATGTCGAACCCCAGCTTTGGAGTGAGGCCACTTCTCGCAGGTTTGCATGTTCACCAGCATTACGACATACTGGTGTACACTGCAGTGCGGCAGAAGAGTCTGCAACCAAGACCAACTCAACGTTGACACCTGTTTCACTGATTCAAGAAAGGAACCGTGATCCTCAGCCTCCGTTGACCTTGTGATACCAATCCCTTCATGGGGAGATGGTCCACGAATGGCCACCTGATTCACAGGCTCTTAGTAGTAGGATTCAAGGCCTGGCGCACAGATCAGTGAACCCACTGACTGAGACTGACATGTAGTTCTAGGCCCACTGAGAACTAAGGCAGAATCCCACTGAGAAAGTGGATCACCTTAGGTGGTTTTTCGCGGTGAAAAAAGCTCCACCAGTCGCCGTCGTCCGCTCATCGTGCAGTCGTCCGATGCTCCCGCCCTTGGAGCTGGACCGACCTCGCACCGCTCGTCCCAGGGACAAATCGGGCTCCGATCCGGATGAGAAGGCCTACCCCTTCGACGCAAGGTGCGACGGAGAATCCCAAGTCGTGTTCCGCGGCAGACGCGTCTTACGCGTCTGAAAACTGCGTGTGTCATGCGTGCGGCTCTGAAGGGGGTCTTCCTCTGGTGACTGGTCAGTTTTCGGAAATGAGGGGAGATCAAACATGACAGAGTTTTTGTCAGTACAACTTGGCGCGGGGGTTTGGGGTGGGGTTCCGGGCCAACAGATTACCGCTTCAGCCGTTGACCATGCCTTTTCAATGTTGTTTTGACTTGCAGTTTTGGGAGGCTCAAGTCCATGCGCCTTATGTTTTGCTTGGGGCTTGCCAGCCGCCTCGTTGTGATCGGTCCTTTTTTTTTCCTGTTTCGATCGTGTTTTCGATCCACGAACGCTTGCTGAGCCGTCTAGATCCGGATCGCCTTTCACTGTTGATGCGCTTGAGATCTGCTTTGGGGCCACGGTCCTCCGCCCGAACGCACCGCCCGATTTCGCAGGCAAACCGAGGAGGCCGTGGCGGCTCGGAGTGGTGGTGGGGACGTGGCGAATGAGTCGGTGAAAGCGGTTCGAAGCACCAACGGTCACCGAAGAATAGGGTGAACTATTCAAGACGCTGGGCAGCTCAGTTGAAATGACTCCCCTGGTATTTTCATGGGGTGATGTGAAAAACAGCTCTCCTGATGCAACGCAACCAGTTCTTCAAGCATGTGTCGTCGGCTGCTTGGCCCACTCGGCTCTCCGTTCGGTGAACCGATGGACTTACAGTAGCCTTTCAGATGCTTTTCAGTAAAGAAATGAACATTAAAAACAAAGTCACAAACAACCATTCACCTTGATATAAATTCAGCAATAAATTGATGCATCAACAGTTTTAGCTACGACATGGTTTGTTGGACATATCAAAGTCACACAGTCACTAAATTCAGTAGCTTTGATATGTCCAACAAACCATGCACCTTTCTGGTGATTCCTGGGTAGGCCTTTTGGGTCGCGACTTGAGCCGGGAGTCGCGACGGAGTTTTTGGAGAGAGAGGAAAAGCCCGGGGTAGTTGATGGTAGTTGAAATGCTGCTGAATTACAGTGGGTTGAGAGTAGATGGCGCAATCCCCAAGAGGTGCTTTACTGTACATCGACTCGATCAAAAAGCACATATTGGGGTTTGTGCCATATCTACTCTCGAAACCACAATGCAAGTTGCATCAAATGATGTCGAAAAGACAATTTGACCGTGACCTCATCTGATTTGGTGGGTGGCAGTGGCAGCCACCCTCAGCCCACACTCCTTCTGGTACATCTTCGCCTTAGTCCATGGGCCCATGGGTTGGGTCTGTCCTACTACCTGCAACAGTCAGTAAACAATTGTTACTATTTTTGAAACAAGGCCTGCAACTGAACCATCATCATCCACTGCTACAGGTCTTAGGATAGACCCAACCCATGACCCATGGAGGTTTGTTGGGCGGAAATGCCGTGCATTTCCGCGCGGCTGAGCGCCCCCGCGGCAGCGGCCGCGCGCAGCCATAGGAGGAGAATGCGAACGCCACGGTGTCCGCGCCGCCGGAAGATACCACAGAGACGCCCAGCCGGAGGAATTTGGCGCCTCGGTACGGGGTGGGCAGGTCGTCCAAATGTGTGGGGTGGGCAGTGTGGAAGAAACAAATCCAGGCCGCCCCTCCTACTTATGTCATCGTGAGGATGAAATGGGCTGAAATGGGTTCATAATTAGAAACTTGGGTCGGGATGAAGATAAACGACCACCCTCTGTGACGTGTCTACGTTTTAGGTTTGCCATCTACCCCGCGGATGGAGTACATAGTCACATAGATGTCACATAGTGCATACTGTCATTTCGAGATAAGACATCGCCGTTGGAATGTTTGCCAACCCGTGCAGCTTGTCCATCAGAGCCTGGCCGAAACATTGATCGGTTCATGGTGCTTGTCCTTGCCCAACCTGTAGCACTGAAAGCCGAGAATCAGTAGGTCAAGTGGGGCAGACGTTTTCTCTTGTCATGTTTGATCTTGAATCTTTATCAGTCGACTTCCCCCTAGAAACCAACTGAAGGAGAGTGAATAGAACCCCCCCCCCAAAACAAAATCAAACACATCCTCGCGCACTAGAGTCATAGCAGTAGTCGTCGGTCAGAGTCATAGTAGTAGTGGTTGTCGTGGTGGTGGTAGTGGTAGCAGTGGCAGCAGCAGCAGCAACAGCAGCAGCAGCAGCAGCAGCAGCAGCAGTAGTTGTTGTTGTCGTAGCAGTGGCAGCAGCAGGAGTAGTAGTAGTCGACGTCATCTTCGTCTTAGCAGTAGCAGTGGCATTTGGAACACCTCAATGGAGGCCAAAGATTAGGTTGTGATTCTTTTGCAGCCGGATTATTTTGGCACCCCCTTGGCAATGCATATGAAATATTAACTGTCTAAATTCCAGGCCGCCAGGACCAACCACCAGCAGCAAATAACAAGAGCCAAGCGGAAACCCAAAGGCAACAAACAATCGATCAATAGGAATCACAGTGGTGGTGCTTAAACTACTACATTAAACTAAACCAGGGGAGAACTAATTGAAGAAACCAAAACACACCCCAGGGATCCGTCGGGTGATCTTTTAAATCCAGCCCCCCCCCCGCAAAGCTCTGCGGGGGGTACCAAGAAAAGGCCAACAACCGTTCTTAATGATGTCCTTCTATTTCTTCGATTCCTTGTGGCCTTCCTTTTCGGCCCACGCGCGGCCATATCTTGTCCCGCTTCGTTCCCCCCCCTTTTCCGCTCCTTTGAGCCCTTCGTGTGGACCGCTCACCTCGGTCCCCCCGCCAGGTCACCAAGAGTCAATCTTTCCTCCGGGCGAGGCTGTCGATGCTGCTCGGTCAGTCCGGAGTTCGAGGGGAGGAGATGCCATGAAGATGACCATGTGACCATAACATGGTAATATGGAGCTTCATGTTCGTACTTCCTTTGGGTTCCTTCCAAATGGGCAAGACTATGAAAGGGACGGTGGATCGATACTGCAGAGTTGAGGGTGACCCCAGATAGACAGGTGAAGTGAAGTAGTTCTGACACTGTCTTGATTTGTGCAGTTCCTACTATTTTAGATATTTAGGTGGCTTTGGTGCGAATAAGTGAGCGCAACCGGAAACAAAGTACACTTGTGCTGAATGATCCTTACTCGACAAGTCGGACAACGTCAATGAACGATGTCCAGCGGTCCATTCCGTTGGAGGAGATCCTGAGGGTAGGAGCAAGCACCGGTGCATCATGTGCTTGAACCGATTCGAAACACGCGACAGCAGCGAGAGATCCTGTTTTGTTCGTTTTGTTTCTGGCATTCGCTTTTATATATTTGTCGTTTGTATTGTATTGTATTGTCTTGTTTGTTTGTTTGTTTTTTTGTTTCGGTTGTTCATGTTCCTTCGTGCGTTCAGGTATGTCATGTGTGTTCGTTCGTGGGTTCTTTTGTTCGTTCGTTTATGGGCTCTTTCGTTGGTTCGTTGGTTCGTTCGTGGGCTCTTTTGTTCGTTCGTTGTTCTGTTCTTTTTCTTCTGTTCTGCTCTGCTCTGCTCTGCTCCCTTGCTTGCTGGCTTGCTTGCTTGGCTTGCTTCCTTGCGCAAACTCATCTAGAACCCGAATCAGCAAATTCCTGAACCACATGGGCCACTCTCCAATGTAAGTGTCAAACTACAGGACATGTGAACATTTTCCATCCGCAAGGGGCCAGGACGGACTACGGTTGCTTGTTAGTTGGCCCCGTCGCCGATGCAGAGCAAGGTTCCATGCATTTGCGTACGCCCCTTGGGCCCCGTCTGGCCATTTGAATGTGTCTTTCCCGAGATCTTCTCATTTTGGTGGTAATCTACCAATCTACCTCACGCTCCCCTCAACCAGATTGGTTTGCAAGGACCAGGGTTGGGGAATTGGTGGCAGGCTGCTCAACGAGAGACTGGTCACTATGACCCTCACTGAAGTGTCGGAAGAAAGGATCAAAATATCGGGTGCTTCTACATGTCGTGCAACCATCCTAGAATGGATAGGGTATGAACATGCATGAACAAATCCGACAAAATCCAAACACTATGACGAAGTAAATCTTCTATTGTCCATGTGCATTTTCTATTTTCTCCAGGGATGACCTTCTATTCTGTGCATGCATAGATTCCACCCGCACCACCGGGCCGGTGGTGTTTGCTGTTTCGACACCTCCACACCAGCCGCCTCCAGTGTTTCGCCCAGGCCGGACCGCATCGAAATCTCGCGGATGCGCGAGGCGCGCCGCGGATGGGGAGGGGAGATGATGGAGAGACCTCAAAGCAAAGTGACAGGTTGAGGATGCATTACTGTAAAGGTTTTTTCTTGGGTGTGGCAGTGTGGCAGTGCTGAATTGTCAGCAACTAGCATAAAGAGATGCACAGCAATGAGGTGATCCTCAGAAACAGTCCGTCAAAAGATGCCCATTATAACATCGTCATGATGTTGTGAACAGAGACCCGTCATTCCGAATTTTGTTTACTCAATGCTTTCTTTTGGCAGGACCTCTGCCAGTCATTCCCTGACCACGCAGATCCTCAGAGATCTCAGAGGTTGAGAAGTTGAAAAAACGAACGCCTCCTTTGTTGGGGGGAGGGGGGGCTGGCTTGGAGGAATACCTGCAGCGGAAGCCCGGCTACTGCTTCTCTGCTCGTGAGGGTGACCCAGATGCTTCGGGCACTTTGCCGGAGGGCGATTCTGGTATGACCTCTAAACAGCAGGTCCTCATAGAAGCAAAGATATGCAAAGATGCTTAAGCCATCGCCTGGGTCGAGGGAAGTGGTCCTGGAAGAGAGCCGCCTCTCAATCGCTGAAGAAGCTTTTGCGCTGTGCTGGTATGACTTCAGAGTGCACACCTAAGGGGTGGTCTTCGATCGAACACATCCCATGATCATCACCATCCATCCATGAGAATCAGAGAATCAGTCTGTGGCCACCTTCCGCGAAAAGGCTAAGGGCCATGCCGCCGAAAGCATGGCCATGGCACTGCCCTCGTTTTCTTCCGGTGGTGCTTGTATCCACCGGGCACCCGCTTCCAGCGCGGGATGGGAGCCCGCTCCGAGGACACCAGCCTCTGAGGGTTGAGATTTACTTGCTCTTGGAGGAGCCGACGAGCAGTGCCTCGGCGGATCGGAGGACGGCGACGGCTGGAAGATCCGGAAGCGACGAGGCGACGCGCAAAAGGCTGGAGTGAGGAGTGAGATCATGGAGTAGGGGGAAGTTGGTGCAGGATGGTTGATATTGACTCTATATATATAAATATATATAATATATATAATATATATATATAGAGTCAATATTATCGTATATTCTTCTTAGCTGCTTTGATCTAGGCTATGCCGCTATGCCCTATAGATGCGTGAGCAAAGATTGCGAAGTGACTCTGCTGGGTGGTAGCGATGTGAACGATGGAAGGTTAGTTGAGGACATGAATGATGTTTTCTATGTTTTTGTTGTGCCACAAGGCCCTAAGAGGCGATGACTGTTGGACCCGTAGCCAGACACTGATCGGCCCTGTGGTCAAGCATACTGCTCCTCAAAAGTAGAAAAGGTTATATACATATAATGTGTGTGGATGTGTTTCTATTATTGGCTGTTTGTATTTGTTTACCAAGTTTTCCTGGTTTAGCTTTGGGCATATTGAGCGTTGAGCGTGACAGACTGCTTTAAATGAAAACTTTGCATTTAGTCATTAAGTAAACTATTTTTGCCGAGTGGGTTATTTGTGGGTGGTGGTCGCGGTGATGCAGGCCCCAACATGGGGCCCCAACAAGGGGTACATCACCGTGGGCATTTTGGCCAAAGAATATGGGTTTAAGATGGTTTAAGGGACCTTATTGAAGAGGTTAGTACAATCCAAATTTTCTTTGAATCATGGAGTCTCCACAATCAAAGACTTGTATATGGGAGGCTGGAACCCACCGGTGGTCGCTTCGTTACCCAGGTCGATCGGCCAAGATGTTATCCATCGTGGTCTTTGCCGCTTGGTGAGGGATGAGCGCGACTTTTGGTACGGAAGGCTGATTCATAAAAGCCATAAAGCACCATAAAACCCTCCCATTTGGAGTGAACACGCTCCTCAAATAACAGTCTCTTTAAAATGCATCACGAGTCTACATGGCCTACAATACGGAACAAGCGTCCAAGAGATGGAACCCTTTGAGCCGGATGAAGAAAGGGGTCATAAGTCCTGCCTTAGGCCCGTGCTGATGTAGCTACTTTAAGATCTAATCTTGGAGGAGTTTGGAGTTGTGTGAGTGAAAGTCGCTGACATTCGTCCAGATCTTCGAAGGGCCCTAGGGGTCCTAAACCCTAAACCCATCGGCAGCTGATCAGGCCCTCTGGGGTCTGACCGTGTCCAGCTGTCACGCGCGGCAGCGTTCTCCACCGCGAGGTGTGTATCATTCTGTCCATCGCCCTTTTCATGCTCGAGACCATGCCGGAGCTCAAGGATGTGCCAGCACCCTGTCGAAACCTAGGAGGAACGGGGAGGGGCGGTGAGAAGGGGAAGAACTTCGAGACTGTGGGGGGCACAGGATAAAGGTGTTCCTTTGGAAGTCATTGGGGTTCATCTTGTGTGGGAGAGAGTCATGAAACAAGTCCAGGAATTTCAGTTTCACACAGATTCGTGAACGACTGAGCATGGCCATCACCCGGCACGCAGCAGAGACGCCCAAGGACCCTGGAGGGAGATTGCAATAACCCAGAACAGTCTGAGGTCTTGCTTTGGGGGGTGCAGATCGATGGAATCAATTGTCCGGAGCCAGCTTTCCGAAAATTTACCAATCGAATGTCAGGAGTTGAGTTTACAGTCCACGATCATAGTGGATGAGAAGATCAGTCACACTTTGGGGAACGGGCATGGATCAACTAGAACATTTAGAGGGTTTGGAGGCAGATGTTGAATTGCACGAGGCTTCCAATCTGTTTAATCTTTTCGGCATTTGGATGCATTTGGAAGGTCATTTTTCAGCGAGGGCAGACTGAGTGGATGGACTTTCCAGGGCTGCAACCTTTCCATTGCTAAGGATGAATTCTGGCCTGGCCCTCAGCGGAGACTGACGGTCACTCCGGGTCACTCCCGTGGGAGAAGCCATGGCAGGGGTGATGGTCATGCAGTTTGTGATCGTTTCTGGTTGACGAGGTCCCCATCCACCTCACTGGATCTAAAGTATAAGGACGGGTTTGGCGGAAGAACCTGATGTCCAGGTGAAACTCCTCTCACGGTCTTGCTGATGTGTGAACTCCCTTGGCTCGCAACCCTCCGGCACGAATGATTGCAAGCAGCCACAGCTAGACGAGGAGCAAGCTGTTCAGCAAACCGTTCTGTTTATGAAGCACAGCCGGGGGGGTGCACTGTGGAGTTGTACAGCCCGGAGATCTGGCTGTTGAGTTGACCACTGGGTCACTGGCGACGCGGTGCATGTGGTAATTGTTTGCTGGACACTAGTCACTAGTAGACTCTCGACACCCACACGACTTTTGGCATGCTGGAATCGCGTGCTTGCCGGGTGCTGTTTGTTGTGACCACAGCTTGCAGGGTGGCTTCGGAGTGCTTCTTCACCATCGTCTTCATGGTGGAGTACATGACCAGACTTTTGGCATTTTGGCCTGAAGAAGTTGAGTAGCGAGGTGACCAACGGCACGTAGAAAACGCATAGTGGCAAGCAGAGGGGGGATGAATGACCCTCCCGCCGCCACACGGCCCCACGCTCCCCGCTTCTCCTTCGGCTTCTTCAGGTCTGCGATGTCTCGGGCGTTTCGGCGTGGGCGTTCATCAGGCGCACCTTTCCGAACGAGAAAGCGCTCCGGGCATCACCAGAAAGCAGTTCAAAGGCTGAAGATGGTTTACAATTATAATGGTGTTCCTGGGTTTCCAGTTGGAAACTCGAAAAGTACATCAGACATCTCCAGAAGTATTATGATGTATTATGTATATCTAAATACTATGGTACTCTCTCTCTCTATATATATACACATGCATACAGATATATAAATATATATATATATATATATGAGTGAATCTCTACGGCATTGACGAAACCGACCTTCTTTCGGGATCGCCTCGCTCCGCGAGGACGCCGATGAATATCGTGGACGTGGTGGCCGTGTTGCCTTTCTTTGTGATCCTCGCGCTCTCCAATGTGGGTAAAGCCATAGGCGCGCCGCAACGCGGAGTGGAGATAGGTGGGATGTTATTTTTCTTCAGGAAAACCGCAACGATACTAGTTTCATCTAGTTTCTATCATTTTGCTTGTTTGTTTTTTGCTTTTTACATTTAGTGTTAACAACTTGATTGACTCATTGACCTACATACAGATCACCTCCAACCAGTCTTTTGAGAGAGTGGATTCGACCTGGAGACCCCCCCTCGTGGTCGAATCTCCGGCGGCCATTGGGAGCGAGCGTTTATAAACGACGCCGCTCGGAGGCTTCATCCGGGCGGTGCGCCTGGTACGGCTGTTTCGGATCTTCAAGTTGCTGGGCCAAGTTCGGGACGGGTGGAAGTTCTTCAAGACAGAGCCTGAGCCTGGCCAGAACTTGGCCGGGTGGCCCGCTAGCTATAGCCAGTGTATACTCAACTTCTTGGGGGCACTCAAACAAAGGGTGGGTGGAATCGTTTATGTTGTACACTTAACCTTAAATGAACTTGAATGATCTTTACTTCGAGGGACGGCCGGTGTTGTCGTGACCGGTCAGACCCAAGGAACGAAGGAAGGGCTTCCCCACTTTAGATTGAGGAAGCGAGACTGGTTTTCTCACCCAACGGTTCCTCAAGAGGCGTCCTTTTTGGGGTGGATACCAGGTGGGTTCGATCCTTTGTGGGTCCGGAGGTGGGTCCTTTGGAGGTGCCTTTTTATAAACAATTCTTTGAACCTTTTTGAACTCTCTTGGACTCCGGACCGAGGCTAGGGCGGTACTCCACCGGCTTGAAGATGATGATGGTGGCCCTAGGCGAAAGGGTTTTTCTCTGGGGCATGATGGAGGCAGGGGCATGTCATTGGAAGCAAGCTGAGCCAACCAGGAATTGGGCATGAGAGCAGCATAGCGTGATAGCAGAAGGTCGATCATGCTTTTTACATGCGGCGTGCGCATCTCTGCGCTGCATGCTGCCTCATTCTGGTGCTCGATCGTGCTTGTTCCATGCTGGTGCTCGGAAAGTCCCAACCCCTTCCTCACGGGACTGGACATCGCACCGGGGACACGTTCGCCGGACCCGCGGCGGCGTCCAATGATCAGTGTAAATAGGTCGAACAGGCCAGTATCGCGAAACGGCTATGATATATGTATATATATCTTATATTGTAATATTCATTATATTGCATTTCATATAGCAATACATATAGCAGAAGGGAGTTGCCCATGCTGCACTGACCTCTTCGTGTATGAGATGTGATGAGTAATTTTTTTTGGGGGTTTAACCACTGCCCTCATTCAATCCGGTTGTCGTGGTTGGAGGAATGGTTCGCTTCTGAAAACGGTGCTCCGCTTGTGACAGAAGGGCCAAGAACTAACATGACGCTTCAAGAAGAAAACCTTTGATGGCCTAGATGGACTATGGTATATATATACCATGTATCCCTCGACGATAGTGACTAGCGACACTTGGGGTAGTTTCACCCATCCGACTGGACCGGCCCCTTCAGGTCCTGTGAGTCCGGGTCCTGGTCCGGTAAGGCAATAGTGGGCAAGCGCTCAGCGTCTTGGTCTTCTTCCTGGGGATCGGCTGTGTGCTCTTCTCCAGTCGGGGAGCCCCGGTCGACTGGGCCGGAACCACGGGCGGGACGCAGACGCAAGGGCACGGAGGGCACGACCTGAAGAAGGCAGTGAGATTTGCTTGAGAACCTGTGGGTCTAGACGCATGTCTAGGGGTTCCAAGTCGATGGTGTTTTTGGGAGTCCCCAATGTCTTTACGCATCACTTTTTGCCCCCCTGTCTCATGCACTCAGAGAACTCGGAGACTGTACACGGTTCAACCATGAAAGAGTCGATATCGAACGAGCCCCACATAGACCTCTCAAGCAGACTGGGCTTTTTCTCTGACTCGTTGGATGGTAGGGCTGCTTGGCAGGTCTACATACCCCTCTTGAAAATGGCCCAATGGGCATTCCACGCGGTAGAATGGAGCATTCCAGATCATTTCCAGTAGCTTTGACCCAGAACTCACCGCGTGAGGCATGGTCTATCATTTGGAGAAGCTCTCCTGCCCTGTCGCTCGGGTTGGTCGAATGGAGTGTTGGGGAGCGATGGATTTGAGAGAGAAATGACGCGACAAAATGCACCGTGTCACAGACCAGCAGAGGTTGAAGAACCCGAACTAGACTATCCTATAGGTACCCCTGGTCTACTGGGTCCTAGTTCAGGTCACTGTCCACCTCTGTTGGTAGCCGAGAGGAGGGAGTCTGCTTCCTTTGACTCCTTTGACCTGGACGCAGTCCGAGGGATGTCCTTAGGGTGCCAAACGCTCATCCTTTGGATGTTTTTTCGGGTTCGTTCGCCTTCACTGGGTGAAAGGTGGGTTCGTGGGTCGTTGAAGTTGTGAACGCTTGGGTGCTGGGAGCTCACTAATGGCTCCACAGTGGATGGCAGAAGCTAAGGGCAGATGCGGGTCCATTCAATGCTCACTCTTTGGTACATTTTGGTACCATGGACTCTGAAATCACGTTTTACCATGTACATGAGAGTCCCAAGCCCTGACATGACCCACCACAAGATCTTCGTCGGACGGCTATTTGTTTCTGAGTTTGTTGGCGCCATCTGACGGAGTGGTGTTGGGGTGGGAGCTTTGCAACGCTCTCCGCTGCGGCCTGCGGTCCAGGATCAGACCAACTTTAATACCACTGAGCTCTCGACCTACAAGGAGGCAGGCTGACTCGGAGGTGAAGAATCCGCAGGCATTCTTTGGCATTCTTAGAGCCCCCCTCCAGCAGATTTCAAACACATTGGAGCAGGACCTTCGGGAGGATCACTCTCCATTTCCGCTTCCTCTACATTGCTGTTGGAGTGCAGTGTGCCCACACTTGGATGACCATCACGGTCAGTACAGACCCACGACCGTTTGGACCGACTTGGGACCTACCGACCTTCACCGCGTCAGGAGTGTACGGACAAGCTGCGGCGGGTCTCGCAGTACGGGTTGTGCTGCAACGAGCAGAACGTCCCGCTGGAGTTCCCGTCGATTCTGCCGCTCGGGCGCTTTCGGGGCCCAAACGTTCAAAAAGCCCGTTAAGGGCTGCAGTCGTACGTTCGGAGAAGGTGGGACTGGGCTGGGTTTGGAGGGTCCTACCTTCAGGTTGTGATACTTGGAGCCCTTGGGTAGGTTGGCTCATGAATAGAGGGGAACACCCGGAGACGACGTCAACAACCTAAGAGCTTTGTGGGACCAACTGGGCCCCTTCTGATGGCGAGAGGCGCGGGTTGCTGGGCGTTGATCCATCGGTCGGCCCTGGCCGTGTCCAAAAACAGCGGTATGCTGTGTTCGGAGCAAGCAGTTGATCATTTTGGTATGTTTTTTTTCTTCTACCTCTTTCTTCCTTCTTTTTGTCCTTCTTCCTTCTCTTCTTTGCTCCTTCTCCCTTCCTCTTCCTGTCTTCCTTGGTTTCCTTGTCTTCCTGGAAGCGGCAGCTCCTCTCTAGCACACTAGACTGAGGTCCACCTTCTGGTGGAGCCTTGGCTTTTGGAAGGGTCGAGCACGGGATGGTTGGGATGGTGGGGATGCATCTACCATGGCCATCCATGGCCATCGTATCGCAGGCTTGACTGGAAGGCTCCAGCGGGTCTCAGTATCTATTACGGGTGGCGTGTGCCCCCCTCACACACGTTCCAGTTGTGTGTCAAGAATTTTGATTGGAGCGTGCCTGTGTCCTGAACAAGGCTGGACTTGGGCATCAAATCCGTCCTCAAGTCCTCGGATGATTTGCTGCTACCGCCTTGGACCTCCCACGTCCCATCTCCAATCCCTGCAGATCCTCATCCTTCATGAGTGGATACCTGAGGACCATAGTCACCATGTCCACCGTGGGCTACGGCGACATAGCACCGCGGACCCCGCCCGGGAAGCTTGCAGGTGGTGCGGGTGTGGTTTCTGACCGTTTGAGAGGCCCTCATGATCCTCATGCTGATGAACACAGGGAACACATGGAACCTCCAAAGACTGTTCTCGTGTTTGATCCGTGGCTTTGGTGCATGACAGAAAACATCCATTTCCGAACCCACCCACAGCACCGCCTTCCCCGCTTTTGGCACGTGAGCAGGTGCTGTGACGATGTGCTCGGGGATCTTGCTCTTTGCGCTGCCCATCGCCCTAATTGGCTCCCGCTTTCAGGAAGCCTACAACATGGCCGTCTCCAGGCCAAACCCTCCCGGAAATGGATCGGACTGCCGAGGTCTAGGATTCTTGAAGGTTGCATGCTCCAAGAAGGTATGTTTATCTTAGAATATCTTAGAGAGCAATGGCAACATGGTACATGGCAGCATGCTTATCTCAGAAGGCACTGTATGTTCGGAGGAGGGGTTCTTTTTGTCAGCACTTCTTGAGACGCCACAACAGCCAGGGATAGCCCATCGCTGCAGCACCTTGGGCGGCAACGAACGGCGACGAAATCGTCCTCGCGGTCCGCGTCCGTTTCCGGCCCAGAACTTGGCACTTCCCCACACCCTTCCAACTTTGAGCTTGTAACGAGTGAATGCTGGAACAGCGGGGCTTAGATGAATGAACGAAGAATCATTCCTCTTTTTACTTTTTTCCTTCCCCTCTCCCTCCACAGTCTAACACGCGCATATGATTATATCATAATGCATGGTATATTGTAACACACCAATCATTGTCGAAGACATCTGCATTTGGATACAGGACAAGGGTCGTTTTGTGGTTGACTGCGTGGTCCTGCAGTCCAAGCCCTGGCATGTTGGCTGTGTTGACCACCAGAACATCATTGTTGAGATCGCTTTTGGCTGGGATCAGGTGGCCGAAGTCTGCTGAGATCGCGCTGTGGGTCGGATCAAAACTGCACCTTCCCGTGGGGTCGTTTTCCGATTTCCGATTTCACCGGCGCCCCTTTTCTCAGGGTCCGAAAGAGATCCAAGGTGCGGCCGGGTGTTGGTGTTGCCAAGCCACGGGGCCCACGGCATCAGTTCTGGACCGCCTCGAGACCACCAAATCCCTGGCGGGAGCTCCTGGGAGCGAATTCAAATCACAGCACGGGGACTAGAGGAGTGTAGTGCATGAGGGTCCCGCAAAAGGACTCACGGAAGTGACGAGGGTATTGTTCATCCCGAGGTTGCAACCAATCCGTCTCCAGTGTGTTCTGTCGCACGTGGAGTTGTCAAGCGGTCTGGGTGGAGATGAGGCAAGTGAGGCAGCTTTTTTTTGCCGCAGCGAATAGGGAGGGTAATTAGATGATTACAATTCAACTATTGGATGATATTGGATGCTATGTTGGTTGGTACATGGCTTACGACGACAATAGAAGTGGAAATCATTTTTTGCTCTTGTTCTTTCAGGGTGGGTTGCTTCAAACGAGCCCCTTGGTGATGCAGCCTCAGATGATATGACTTGGGAATCCTCTGGCATTTCCACAGGATCCACGGGCCCCAATCATTTGGGACCGAATCATCACCGAGGCGTTTTCCGAGTTCCATTCCGCCCGCCCACCCGCCTTCCCACCCCGGGCACAGCATGCGGCGACATGTTGTGACCCGGGTCTGCCGGAGATCGCGGCTTTGCCAGGACCGTGATGAGCCGCCCTTCAAGATCATGAGCACCCGGCTGCCGCTGGGTGGAAGGGACGTGGGAGGGGACGTGGGACGACAGGCCTTTGAAAATCCAAGTGATGGGAAAGCTGTGTGGTGCCGCGCGCCCCAAATCATCAAAAACAAGACGGACAGATCGCCTCACAAGAAGAAGAAGAAGAAGAAGAAGGAGAAGAAGAAGAAGTATGTGGATTCTCCTGAGTGGAGGGACTGGGCCGCTGGCTCCAGCTGGCATGTTTCAAGTGCTGAGGCGATTGCTGCGCTTCAGCAATACCTCCATGACGCGCTTGGCCAAAGAACTGTCGAAGGAGCGACCGGAGAAGAAGGATCACTTGGATCATCCACCCTGGGTGACATGGCTGTGAGTCACCACGCGCAATGAACAGAATCGACTTCCAGACATGGGTCCACCTATCAGGGTCTATAGGGTCTTGCGGGGGTCCGGTTGGTGGTTCACACGAACCCAAGCCTGAAGACATGAGGGTTCCATCCTGGTCGCGCAGAGTGCCGATCCGAGAGAGAACGTGAACCTGGAGGAGCCACGGTCAGTCGACTGCGGCGATGGCTGGTCCCACGCAGCTCCCAAGCCACGCACGTCGTGCGTGACACGACGGGAACGATCGGAAGTCCATGGAGCCGCCCTGGCGTTCAGTACTGGATTTGCACCAGCACTGAGAAATGGAATATAATATGAAATCATATTCATAGAAATACGGTACACCAGGAGTCACAAGACGGGGTGGTGGGCCCAGTCCCAGTGAGTGGAGAATGGGAATCCCCCTAGCCTCCAAGTTCGGCACCCCGTCTTATGACTCCGGGTATTTGGGTGCACTTAGTCTGAATTCTTCTGACGCTGTTTGGTGGTTGGCCCCCTTCACGGGTGGTGAAAAGAATCCCAAAGTGGTGAGGATTCCATTTTGGTCCACTTTCCTAACCGTCCAGTGGGTCTGACATGCTCCCTCCGCCATGCCCCCTTCCCGCCACCACTCCATCCCAGTCTCCATCCCAGTCTCATCCCCAGGAGCTTGAAGAGGCCTCCGAAATGCAGGAGGACATCCGCATGTGTCTTGGACGCGACCGGGCGACCGGGCGACCCGACCCTGCGACCGGGTCCAGTTCGGTGCCCGACGGTTTCGACCGGTCCAAAGCGGCCAAGTTCGGCCCGGAGACAGGGACGGGTGCGGCCGGGTGCGCGTCAGAGAGTAGGGAGTCGTCTTGAAAACGCCGCCGATGCAGTCCTGTTCTTCTGAACCTGGACCGGAGACCCGGTGATGCCACGATGCCGCCTGCCTGGCCTTTCGTGCGAGCTCGAGCTGCGCCGCGCTGTGTTTCTTGACCGCCGCTGAAGCGGCTCAGGTTCGAACGGGCGGAGAAGGAGCTCCAGAAGGAGGTCCTCAAGAGCGGACTGCAAGTCGTCAGCCGTCCGGGCACTCGCCGGCCACGTCGCCCGATGCGCCGGGCCGCAGCGGATAGGGAGTCCGGGAGGATGGGCGCGGCTGGGCCGGTTGGCGCAGCCGGTTGGCGCGTAGATGATGGTAGGTGAGTTGATGCAAAGAGTCCGCGCATGGGTTTTGGCGCGGTGATTCTCAGAGGACATGCAGCAAGGTCAATCCGATGGTCGGTCTCTTTTGCATCGCCCAAGTGCCTGACGGAGCCCCTTTGTCTTCTGACAGGGAGTTGGAATCATGATGAATCATGGATTCCATTGACTGGTGCGTGGCAGTATCAAGTCAAGTGTTAAGCCATGTTAATCCATAACTGTGGGTCAAAATTGGTAAATGCACTGTTCGTGAATCGGGGCCGGGGCTTGTCCCCCATCCTTGACTTGTTGGTGCAATGTACGATACATTACAATATTACTCTTACTGTACATCAATATATGTGAGTGGATTATCCACCCACACTGGTAGCTTCCACCCACACTGGAAGGTCTTCGATCGGCGGTGCTCAACTCGAATCAAATACACAAACAAATATACATCAATATGTAATATATAATATAACAATATATATATATATATTTATTTATGTAAAGCCACTGCGCAATCGAAAGACCCAGAGATGGGTCAATCCGCGAAATCGAACATCGACATCGTATTGGACACCCCCCGACCTGTACCAGACTTGTACGACCTGCGCCGACCTGCGCCGACCGCGCCCAGGTCTCCAGTTCCACGTGGACGCCGCCAAGGTTGGGGCAACGACCACGGCGTCCAGTGCGCCCAGTGGAGGCGGACCTGCGGCGGACCTCGGTCGTGCGTGGCGGATGCGCATGGCCATGGGCGTTCCACCACTTCTCGGCACTTGGGGGGGGTGGGATTCAGGGAGTAAGGTCATGATAGGCTCTTGATGACTAACCTTGCCATGGAAAGAGGTTGTTCAATCCAACAGGGCGGGTGAAAGAACATCAAAGGAGTCTGGATCCGTGCAGGGTTCGACCATTTGGTCCTTCTGTCTCACCAGAGGCGGCCCTCGGATAGAACTGGAGGCACTGCTGTCCGAATGGTTCCCAGCAAATGGCCGGGCTCAGGATCCATGGCCTGAAGTTAAGCAATGAACATGGCTAACATGTCCCAAACTAGGGAGCTTTCTGATATATAAACTTAAGTCACTTTGGTTTCTGAAACTTGCCTAACCTGGTGACCCTGTCCCACCAAAAAGCCAGCCAGCTCTTTTCCATTTCGCCCCCGGATCGCCCCCCCCCCCCTCCAGGTCTGGCCGAGGGTCGCTCCAATGCGGCGCCAGCCTCCCCGCCGCTGCCGGAGGTGGTGCTGCCGCACCAGTCGGGTGTCCCCAACCGGCCGGGGGGGTTCAGCAAGCCTCCGGTGAGCCGTGGCGAGCGGATTTGCCTCAGACGAACCCAAACAGATCCATAGAACATGACAGAAATCAATTACTATATAATATAATAGATATAAATTGTAGATCCATGGGATTGCGTGGGTTGGATGGAGCATGTCTTCCCGCCGGTGTCTTGGTAGATTCCTCCTTATTGCTTCTTTCTAGTAGATACTTTGAGGGAAGAATCATCCTGAAGATGTCTTCTCTTGGCCTTTTCCCGTGACCTCCAGGACATTCCAGCGAACAAGATTCGGGATTCCAGCGGTGTTCCGAACCATTTCCTGCATGCCATGCCAATCGCCCATGTGAGGCCACACCAGGCCACGCACCCGTAGACGACCCGTAGACCATGTTGGATGACTCATGTGTGGACAAAGGCGCATGGTGGAGCCAGACCGCGAGGTGGTGGCGCCTTGGACAACGGAACATGGAGACACAGAACAGTTGAGCCCATTCCTTTGGGATTCCAACAGGGGGGAAAGGGCATGGAGCCCATTCCTTTTGGCCTTTTGGATTTTGGACTGACTTGGTTGTCTCAATGTCGATGTACTGACGGGAAGGGGGACAGGTGCTTCATAAAGGGTTCAGAGAAGGGTTCTTTTTGGGGGGCTCCAGTCATCAAAGCGCTACGGGTGGTCGTATGGCTGTTTCCATCAATGGTGGCACACTTTGAGCGAGATCTATGGCTTTCAGTTCATTTCGTTCCTTTTCCGAAGGGTCTTTTTTTGCGGGTCTCCCTATTTCAAAGGTCGACATGTCAAACAGCAAACATAGTTAAACAACAATCATTAAAATTCCATGTTTTCGCCTTCAGGATTCTTCCTCTTCCATTTCTTCATTGCTTCCGCCCGCGCGGTCCACCGGTCCGCGGCTCTCAGGTGCCGGACCGGTCGAGGCTGGGGAAGATGGTGTCCTTCGACGTGCCGCGTCAGGTGGACGACCGGATGGGCCATGGATGGGGCGATGGTGGGGTGGCCGGATGGTGAGGTCATGATGGTTTGAGATGGTTTGAGGTAGGCCTAGGCGTGGCAGATCCAAGACATGGCCTTGGTTTTTGCGGATCTTTATTGAACTTCCAAGCACGCGGAACTTTCCTGTACCAATGATATCCATTATGCTCATTATATATCCCTTAAAGCAGGCATCCTTACATGACTGCGTGTTTGGTGCATTTCGCGGAGGTAGCTAGCTATGTGGGCTCACCTTTTGGACTGCACAATGCAACGCCAGGGTGGTTGATGTCAACCGGGAGGCATGCAGAAGACCCGGGCTACAGGGCTCCCGAATGGAGCAGGGCTGCAGGGCTGATGTCCAGGGCTGCAGACTGCTGGGCTGATGTGTGTTTTGGTGCGTTTGTTTCGCAAGCATTTCAAGGCACACATGTATTGAAATCACCACTTCAAGATACGTAAAGGGAACCTGTGATTCTTGTTCCGCCAATTTCTTTGTCCAGACGGAGAGTGGTGAGACCTGTTGAGTCACTTCCTCGACGCTTTACTTCAGAGCGCCGATAGACCTTCAGTAGATTGAATTATATATCCAAAAAACCAACGGGTGCAGCAGAGTTCAGTTTTGGATCAGTCTTGTCGCGGTTTCGCCACGTTGTGCAGTTGGACCCCACCTACCTCCGCCTACACTGAACGCCACAACAAGGTCATCACATGGATTTTCACTGAACGCCACTTAAAGTCAGTTAAACCATGTGATGTCCCACCTCCTTGAGGTTCAGTGCTTGGTCATCGGTTTTTGGGAGTGCCTCGTGCTTCCTTCTGGTGCTTTGGGAGGGCTTGAAGGCTGATGTTTTGTCCAGGGTTTAGGGTTTAGGTGTTGAAGTGCTGCTGGGACCTGCCCTTTTGGAAAGGCGGTGTATGACGGTGTTTCGGTTTCCTCAGGAGCAGTCGGAAGGTGAGGTGTAGGAACGTTCGCCACTTCGGAATCCATGCAGGTTCGTCTCTGAACAAGTTCGATCAAGAACCCAGAGGTCACAAGTTCGGATAGAAAAGGGGGGACCAATCCATCATAGAAGATCCCCAATTTGGTCTTCCATCCTGATTGTCGTCCTTCTGGAAATGGTGACTTGTGCCGTGGCGGGGGCCTTGAAATAGAGGCACCGACCAGGCTGCTGCGGCCGATGAAGTGATGCCAGGGACCAGGACGTCGAACCCACGGAGATGGAGGCGGATCCACCCACAAACTCAAGACCTCCGATTTTGGCCAGATCATGGATGGCCTTTTACATCCTTTTACTATCAGTTGGATTTGGCTGGAAGGCCCCCCCGAACAACCAATGGCTCCACGTGCCGTTGCCATCCGGTCCAAAGTCAAGGGCTTCAGCCACACCGGGTTCGATGCCCACATGCCGGACGGGGCGACACGGCGAATGCGTCGGGCTTCGGGCAGAGGAAGGCCAGCGGCCTTGGTTACCATGCTTATATGGCCTAGCCTGCGTATAGCGGAGCGTTCTAAGTATTGGTGACAGGTAGGCTAAGGCTAGGCTAAGGAGAGGTGTGAGTGATTTGGCAACACCTACCCTCCAAGTTTAGTGTGTCCTTGACTTCTTGAAAGGTTCATGATATTGTGAGGCTCACGAAGGTGGAATCATGTAGGAAGAGAATGGAAGAAACATCTACTGGTTCGGAGCCCAAATGTTTGGTTGATTTTTGGAGATCTTCAGAGCAAAATGCAATAGAAACTTATTTGAGGAAATTCAATTCCAAGACGTTCACCGCAGGGTGACGGATCCTCATCACACTTTCTTTAGCCTGGAGGCCAAGGACAGTCCAGCCCCCAAAACAACCATCTTCCAGGCCCCCTAAGGGGTGTTTCTTTTCGACACCCATTATATAACCTCTAAGGAGCTATTATTGGACACCACTTAGGGGGCCCTGGTTTGATCCCCACCTTTTTGATGTATATCATTCTTTCATGGCCGACCGCCTTCTGCATCGGCTCCGGCCCCCCCTATGCCCGGTGCCGAAGGCATCGGGACCGGGAGCGAAGACACCGCTCGACACGAGCGTTTGGTGTGTGGAGCCTTTGGGCCAGCGCCTTCTCCACAAGCTGTTCCAAGACCACGTGAGACGAGAACAGACTCTGAATCTGAAAATATTTGACCGGAACATTTTTATAGTAATATATAGTAATATATACTACACTATTCAATGACCTACTGTAAATACACCTCATGTAAATACAGGCCGGTTTTTCACTCTCACCACCTTACCACCTTACCACCTTGAACATGTTTTCGACTGACACATTTTACTGATAGGCTCCGACGAGGCAAAAAAACACCTTTAGTTCATTAGATCGCTGATTTACAATTCACCATTGCTTGAAGCAGGTTTGGGGGGTAGGGTCATGTAGACCTCCTTGCAGGATGCCCCCCTTGCAGTTTTTTTGCATTATTGTAGCCCAAAGCAGTTACAAGAGACTGGAGGCATGTGGGAATTGGCAAAACAACCTCACACTCCAAAGGCCCAAGTCCGAAGTAGACGATGACGAATTCTTCCGTATACATCAACTGCCGCGCAACGTGATGATGTACAAAAATGGCATGGACTTGGATCACCCAGTGGATCACCCCCATGTAGACTTCCCATTTTGTGCCTGTGAGCCACAACTAACATGTTCATGTGACAGCTAAAGCAGCTCACCTCTAGAACATATCGTGTGTATCCATCCAGTGGCTGCTGGACCTCGGCAAGAGAGACGTCGTCACCGACTCAGCCAAGAGGGTTGTGGGTTCCGACGGGGCGTTTGGAGGTCTGTTGCGGTGCAAAAGGAGCGGCGGTGGCGGTGGAAACTGGCAAGATTGGCACCCGCCCAGCATCCACTCAGCACCAACCATCCCCAACCATCACCAGCAGCATGATGTCACCGTCATCTTCACCCTGGAGCCACTGGAAGTATTTCAAAGTCCTAACTGTTTCCCCTCCGGGAGATCCTTTTGTGTCCCTTTTTGGCTACTGTATGTTCGCAGTGTTCAGGGAACGCAGTGCCGAAGACCCGGGGGTAGATGAGCCATCTGAAGTCAGCGCCCTGTTTCAGAGAGCCGCCCCAAAATGGATGATGCCGCTGCCTGATTCAGATGCCACCCATGCAAATGCAACCCAAAGCACCGAGAACACATGACACATTCAGCTCTTAAGTGTACTGTAACTACTGCAGATCTTCCTTGGAGTGGTTGTGCAGTCAAATCACTCAAGCAAAAGTGTATAGCATAGACCTATATGCTGCACATGGACCTATACATACATTCACGGCAAACATGCATCCCACCCATGCAATTGATTTTCGGATTCTTGGAGATGTCGGTCGTCTAAAGGCATCGGTGGATGGTCTATGTTCCGAACCTCCTGCGGTCTCTCCCTGCCATCCTCGGAAAAATGACTCCAGCGAGACGAAGCTCGCCGGTCTCGTCTGTGTGGCGCTGCTTGGGATGTCGGTCGCCACGTGGTGCGTTTGGAAGCGACGCGCGAAGAAAGAGGCGACCTTGCCACCACTCGTGAGCCTGTCGCGACGGCAAGTGGCCCAATAGTGGCTGGATGGTCTGTTTTGGAAGGCCGTGTTGATCGCGGCTCAGGAAGCGGAGGAGAAGTGGGGCACATCCATCTTCCGCATCCGTGGCGCGGGATTTTTCGATTCCCCCAGCGTCTACTGCACGGATCTCTCTTATGTAGAGATGCTCATGGGGCCCAAGGGCCTGGAAAAGAGCGAATTGTATGACCGCCCTAAAGATGCATGAGAGCTACAATGAGATCCGCAAGCCTATTATGAACTTCTTCTCCCTCTCAAACATTGCCAAACGTTTAGATTGCTGCCAAGGCAAGTTAGAGGAGTTCCTCAACATTGGGACGATGCGGCCGAACAGCAAAGGACTATAGAGGTGGGCCATTCGCTTTGCGAGCTGACCATGGATTTGCTTGGCCTTGTTGGTTTCCTGCAGCCCTCACTGGGTTAACCCTTTCCCCTTGGACAGCTAGTCTCCTACAGATCTAAGCTGACACGGTTTTCAGAGGTTGTTTGCTTGTGTGTTGGTTTTCTGGGGCATTGAAGTTGAATGTGACATGTCCGACATGTGCTGAAGCTGGCGTGACCAGTTTTTTTTGCCAAGCCACCAGTGCCTTTCACTCAAACCAAGGCCTGTTTCAATTACGGTTTCCAAGGTGACAATCCAGGAGTTCGCATGATTCACGCTGTGCCCTTTTTTGATGGAAGAGACTGGCAACAAGCAACGCTTTATCCCTTTCCGGAAGCATCTGACATTTCTGCCCGGCGTCAAACGGTCCAAGCAGGTGATGAAGGACAACCTGCAATTTGGCAAAGATCTCCTTCCTTTCGCATCGTCGCGAAGAGATGGCAGGAAGAGATTCTGTCCATCAAAGCTCTTCCGGAGTTTTGTTGCTTGATACATTCTTCAAGTCCCCCTATGAGTCGGAGGAGGCGCGTGCGGCAGATGTGGTCTTCTTCCTTCTTGCAGGACGTGAGACGGCATGAGACGGTCGGGTACCAGCTCTCATGGTGTATCTGTTGCCTGATTCAGTTGCCCGAATGCCTCCGCAAGGTCCAGGAGGAGGTCGATCAAGTGATGGGCGCCGCCCGGATCCCCGCAGCGCGATGCTGAAAGACCTCCGTTACACGCTCTTATGACTCTTATGTTTCATGGAGTCCTTGCGCTTATGGCCGGTCGTCCCCGAAGGCAGCGGCCGGACGGTCAGCTCGCCACCGAGCATGGGGCCCTATGAGATTCCACCCGGGACTGAGATTATGATCTCGAACATTGGTGCGTTAAGGTCCAAGCAATGGGGAGTTGATAGTGAAATCTTCTCTCCTGAGTGTTGGTTGGACAACAGTGAGAAGCCTCAAGAGCTTCGCAAAGCCTTCACGGGATTCAGCTATGCACATCGGACCTGTGCTGGTCGCACCTTGGCGGAGCAGGAGCGGCGTGAGGGTTCCAAACTTGTGTTTGGAACGTTCCTCGTGGACTTTTTTGTGTTTTTGTGTTTGGCCAGAATCCGGGCCCAGAAAGCACATCAGAGTTGGGAACGTCCGGACCCCTGATCAGAGATAGGTCGACCTTGTGACTGGGAGAATATTTGGAGATCCAAGTGGACTACCCTACAGGTCCCTTTGGTGGGGGCCAGTAGGATACCTACCAGTGGACCGCTGGTAGGATCTAGTAGGACCCCTAGGGTAGTCCACTCTTCGGTCAGGAGGCGAAGATCGTTCTTGCCACCATCGTCCGGAACTTCGAGTTCCTCCCCATCCACCTGCCACCCATCGGTGAAGAGATGCTCTACCACGTCACTGCCAGGCCTCGTGGTGGTTTGTCCGTCCAGCTCAGGCGGAGAGAACGTGAACGCCACCAGCCAAGAGCCCACGGCTTTTAACATCTTTTAACGCTTGGTGGGTTTCCAGCCAAGCTGCTTTTGATACAATGATTTTTGCCCTTGAACCATTGCAAAATGCCAAAATTTATGTTGTTTATACGTGGTACGTATGTTTTCTGAGAGTTTCAGAGATCGGTGCTTCGCTCTTGCCTCATTGGAATGCCGATTCGGATGAAGCGACGAAAGCCCTCGGCTCAAAGCAGATGACCCGCTCCGCCCAGAGAGCTCCAGGCACCGAACTCGAACGACGTCGACGGACCGCAGCGGCGGCTGTCAACGCCGTCCGTGGGATTCAGGGGATGAGTCGGGTTGCATCCAGGTGGAGGCATGCCATTGTCGAATGGTTCGGTAAGGAATATCAGTCATCTGGATAGAGCTACGGTATGTATATATTACATACTATACGATATTATTCTGATTGATTCTGCCAAAGTGGGGCCGATCCAAAGATCCAAGCCGAAAACACTTGCCTTGCTCCCAAAGGCCGGATGGCTCGAGACTGGGATCTCTCTGTGGGGAAGGCTGGAAATATGTGAAGTTGGGTTCTCTAGCGCTTGGGTATAGAAAAATATATAGATTATTTACTGTAATCAGACATTTAGACATTGTCATTGGAGAATCATGTTGCAGCCTGCCGTGATTTTTGGCTTGGGTTTGCATGAGGAATGATTCTTTTGCATTATTGCCTGATATGTCCGAAAGTGTACTGATTCACTCACTGTGTCTCACTGTGCAGAAAAGAATTCCGCTGTTTGGTGGATGGGGGTCCGCCTGGCGCCGGCATCGCCGGTGGTGTCTCTTTGGCTCCAGCGAAC